GGCATGCAATACACAATTTGAGCAATAGACATCTTGTCGCTTATACACATCTAGATGTGTATAAGAGACAGGATCGAGACCATCCTGGACAACATGGTAAAACTCCATCTCTCCAAAAAAAGAAAAAAAATAGCTGGGTGTGATGGTGGGCGCCTGTGGTTTCAGCTACTGGGGAGGCTGAGATGGAGTGGCGTGAACCCGGGAGGCAGAGCTTACAGTGAGCCGAGATCACACCACTGCCCTCTAGCCTGGGCAACAGAGCGAGACTCCTCTAAAAAAAAAAAAAAAAAAAAAATAGCTGGGTGTGATGGTGGGCGCCTGTGGTTTCAGCTACTGGGGAGGCTGAGATGTGAAGATCGCTTGAACCTGCGAGGTGAATGTTGTAGTGAGTTGAGATCGCACCACTGCACTTCACCCTGGGTGACAGAGTGAGACCCCATTTCAAAAAGAAAAAAATCACTCATACTACCCAAAGATGACTACTATATTTATAGCTTTATTATTTTTTGACTATATATAGAGAGACTATACATATGAGTTTTTAAAAATAAAAAGAAGATTTGTAACTTGTCTTTCCCTTACTGCCTGTATATGACTCTATTTTCATTTGACACATAATTTTAATGGTTGTATGATATGTGAATGTATTTATTTTATTTTTTAAATTGGCAGATAAAAGTATATGCATTTATCATACACAACATGATGTTTTGAAGTATATATACATTGTGGACTGACTAAACTTAGCTAATTAACAAATGCATTTTTTCACATAGTTATCATTTTTGTGGTGAGAACACTTAACATCTACTTTTAGCATTTTTCAAGAATCTAACATATTATTAACTATAACCAACTTGTTGTACAACAGATCTCTTGAACTTATCCTTCCTATCTAAATGAAATTTTGTATCCTTTGACCAACATCTCCCCAGTCCCCCACCTCATCTGCCCCAGCTCTTGGAAACCACCATTCTACTCTCTAGTTCCATGAGATCCTTTTTTTTTTTTTTTTTTGAGATGGAATCTCGCTCTGTTGCCCAGGCTGGAGTGCAGTGGCACGATCTTGGCTCACTGCAAGCTCCGCCTCCTGGGTTTACGCCATTCCCCTGCCTCAGCCTCCTGAGTAGCTCGGACTACAGGCACCCGCCACCTCGCCTGGCTAGTTTTTTGTACTTTTTAGTAGAGACGGGGTTTCACCGTG